GTGTGAGATTCTCCATAGAGGCGGGCAATAACCAGACGAAAGCGATGAATTGAAAAGAATAGACAGGGGTTGGACAAGCTCATCCTTGAATTCTTAACCGCTAACGAGTCAGCGGTTTCGTTGACTGGAGAGTTGATTTCCTTTGAGTGATCGTTCCGATAAACACTCTTGAAGTACGCCGCAAAAAGTTCAGCGGTATCCTGTCCATTGGAAGAAGCCCTGTTTCCATACTTTTTCACCTCCGGAATTCCGATGTTTTTACGTCTGCTATTCACGAACTTCCAAAAAGATTTTGGATTTTCTTCAATCCCATTCTAAATCCCTGTTATATATGCTTGATACGCTTCTCTGTGTAACACTTTGAACGTTCCCAGTAGCTGTTTGTAAGAAGCAGTGTTCTACGGGGTGCCATTACGGCGCTTTTACTTCAGTGCTTTTCGCTTGTCTTTGAGAACTTGAATAAGTATTGGCGAGAACCATTCTGGGTACGGGTTTTCCCAATTCGATCGAACCTTGGAGAATGGGGCATACCTTGCGATGATGCCGAAATAAAACGACCAAATGTTGAAGTCTATGCTGTTGCCTACAATAGTAGAAGATTCGAGATTCGACTGAGTTGAGAAATTCCTGTGTCCGACTCGCATTCCAAATCAGCTTGAGAGATGAAAATGTTGCTCCACGAAACATCCATTAATGCTGCTTTAACAGACATCATTTCCATTAACTTGAGGTTCAGGTGCTTTTTGGGCATCCCAAGTCTCAATTCGGCGTTGTGCAGCAGTAGTTATCGGCATTTGCATTGCATAGTGGTGAGTTTCGTGTTTTATTATCGAGTCAGTTACAGTAATTTGACAGGACACAGTATCAGTGGCGAATACAAGATCCAAATAGGTTGTTATTGTTTCGATTCGGCAGAAACTAACATAAAGTTTTCCAAATTTGGATAGCAAGGATTGAATCTGTTCAAAAAGAATTCGTTCGTTACGCCCTTCGTCACCTTCCTTGGAATGATGCAGTGAACCTTCCACCCTGTGCGGATCGTTGTCTTCTCCTGGATCTTGAAACACTAGAATATAGGCGAACAGTTAGCTAGGCAGTATTTTCGGCAAATGTGTTACTAGACTGTTACCGGATCTCGCAGCATTTTGGTCGAATTAGAAATCTACGCTCCTGAGCGAGTTCTTCGAAATAGGAATTTCCTACATCTCGGACCCCGGCTGCGAACTACGGCCTATATGATTAGATACGGTTCATCGTGATTCAACGAATTCTACACATTGTTTGAATTCTGTACAGCTGAAACCTTTCGTCACCGGATCCAGCGTAGGCCAATAGAAAGGCGATAAATGATTTTGGATTATACGAAGCATCCACTAAAGGTGTAGGCGAGTTTCTGTCCAATTATTTACATTGATGAAGTTTGTGCTACCTGTTGTCTTTTTGCATGTATCACCATCAACGGTGCGGCGGTGTATTTATTTTATTTTGCTAATTTTGTTCAGCGTACCTTTGTAAGTTCCTTAAATGTATTGTGTATATTAAATATATGTTTTACCCGAAAATCCTAAAGGCTTTCCCCCATCATTTGCCATAGATTTGCATTCAGATCCTACCTATATTGAATGTCTGATGCATCGATCGCTAACACTTGGAATGCAGAAATTTAAAACGAAATAGTTTTCGAAATTCCTAGAAAGGAATTCAGCAACCTCTATTTACCTAATCAACCGACAACAACAAAACCCGATCCCACTAAACCGGCAGCATTTTTGCAATCAGTTCACCTCAATCTCCACCCTTGGGGATACCGTGCCCGTAGGCACACGATACCTGTTGCTATCATCGGTCATGATAGTCGAGGGGGAAGAGGTCGCGACTACCGGCGTCGTCGCCGTCGCCGTCGTCATCATCATCATCATCATCGCCCGTCGTTTCCACGTCATTTCCAATGGATCGCACCGAAAAAAAAAACATACATACACTCTACGTGGACCAGGTCGTGGAAGTCGCAGTCGCCGCTGCGGTTGCCGATACTCTCACTATCTCCAGCTCCAGCATGACCGAACGACCAAGTCAAGCCAAGCCAAGCCGGTCCCGTCCCCGTCGATCGGTTGTGGTGCGCGGCCTTTCAGCATGACTTGAGCAAAAGAACATGTGAGAAGAAATGAACGAATGAACGAACGAACGAACCTCCTAAGCCGCACACACAGTTCGCTTTGGTTCAGACCAAGCGACGGCGCTTACACGTCGCACTGTGCTGCTGCTGCTGTTGATGCTGCGGCGGCGAGGGTGCCATCTGGAACTTCGATATTAATTTAATCTAATTCCGGCGCCGGGGAGCCCATTTCCGACGGGGAATCTGTTACTTTTTCCACGCAAATAAACCCAGAACGGAGCCGATTCCGGCCTACGGGATCCAGGTGACGTAATATAGCCCCCGTATTCAAACATGTGCATCCTTATTTGGAAGGTTGTTAAATTAGCTCTCTCGCTCGATGATCGTACCATGATGGTGTGTACGACGACGACGACGACGACGACGGCAACAACAACAACAGCAACGTACACGGGTAGAGTTTTTCGTATATCTTTTTTTTTTCTCTCTCTCTCTAGATATACGAAGCAAGTGGTGTGTGCGAAGATGAAGTTTCTGCTTTTTGACAGCCGGTTGGTCCCTCCGGGTCCAGAAAGGCCGCCGGATCGAAGCGGTGCGAGGTGTGGTGGAGTCGCGTAAAAGGTTTCAAGCATTTTGTGCGTTGATTATCACTGGGCAGCGTAAATTTGTGTGAATCGGTGGCAACAGACGTCCGTTTTCGATTGATTACTATCAATTGGTTGGGATACTAATTCTGTTGGTATACACGCTTAGAAATAACTAATTTTACACGTGACGGAATCCATCTTTGACATAAAAGATGAGACTTAAACAAACATTGCATGTAATATTAAGTGCTCCGAGAATGAAAAGTTCGTTGCTCGACGAAAAGTACGTTTGATTGAGCTATATTTCACGTCTGTTATAACTCAACTTTATGTCAAAATTGACGCTCGTATATGTCACTCTCAGAGCATCTAAATCTACATGAATGTTTCTAAACGTGTACTATTTGACATCAACTCTGACAACTAGCTGTCAGCTAATCGTTTTTCCTTGTTCTGTCAGCTTATCGTCTGACTCAATTTTGCTATAGATTTTCCAATGTGTGTGATTTTTCTAACAAATATGTTTTGAAAAATATCGAGAAATGGAAACAGGATTTTCGAAAGCTGATATTAACACTCTGCCCAAAGTGGATTTCTTCATGGTTCAGCATTTCCTATCTACCAACGACAAGTTTCGAGATGCTAACAAGCGGGGAAAATTCAGAAGTAAACTTTGATTTCTATTACAATTTCAACATTGACCTAATGCTGCTGTTTAATGTTTAGATCCAGTAATCCCGATTACTTGAAATCAGCTATTGGCAGAGTTCAATATAAAATATAAAACGGCGTTTATACTGTTAAAGCTCGAGTAGTACCGGAACATAAGGTGACCAAAAGGCAGTACAGCCAACAATCAATACGAAACTAACAATTTTCAATTGGCTCACTACGTGACTAGCCTATTGGTGTCAAGCAAATCGATTAACGTACTCAATTCTAGTCAAAATTCTAGTACTACACAATGTTTGTTTTGATTCGCTATGAAAGTTTGACAGATAACATGAGGGGTTATTGGATTTTTCTATGTTTCGAGGGGTGAATCGATTAGCTTGGGACCGAAGATAGTACCAGAGCTGAACCAAAAACTAGAGCTCGTTTCTTCGGGACCTACTAGTCTTAGAGTTACCTCTATGGTGGCAATCGTCGACACTCAGCTGGAGAAGATAGAAGATGTTTATTGTGAAAGTGAGAGCGATGGATGCAAAGCAGCAGCTGGTGGCTGTAAGCACGCAGTAGCATTTTTATTCTATTTATATGAAAAGTTCTCATCACCCTCATCAACTGATACTACTTGTTTGTGGAAAGTACCACAACTGGCGCTTGTCGATGAAAATATCGATAACTTCGATATCAGCAACTATACTAAATCTGGTGTGAAAAGAAAAAATGATTCGGAAAACGGAAGTGGAAGGTTCCTTCAAGCATTACTGGAGAAGTGTCCTAAGTCTCACACAAACACTGCCTTGAAGTATTACAAACCAACTCACCCAAGTGATTTATGCAGCATGCATAATATAATGCTTGAATTTAAATCAAAACCAGGGTTGGGCAAACCATGATTGTAAAAGTTTTATTTATTTTTGTAAAATGATCATGAAAGCACAAGCTTGTAACATATGTGAGATTAGCACAAGGGGGCAGGATTCGTCGTTCTGGTATAATTTGAAATTTGGCCGAATCACTGCATCAAAGTTATATGACTTGTCTCGTTGTGCAACTCCAGACGGATCTTTAGTTCATGCTGTTCTAGGACACAGTACCAAAACCATAGAAGCTATGAAAAGGGGTCTGCGCCTAGAGGTTAGGGTAGTTGATATTATTAAAAAAACACTACAAGAATGTGAAGCGTTGTGGACTGTTTCTACATCCACGTTATCGGTGCTTCTTCCGACGCAATCAATGAGACAACCGTTTTCGAAATCACATCAAAGATGATGGAAAACTGAAAGACAAAGTTAATTACCAAATCCATCTACAAATGGTAATGGCACAAAGAGAAAATGGGGTACTAGTTCTTGCCCATCCAGGTTTTGAAAAAAGTAGAAATTCCGAAAAATTCGTAGAATTCCACGAAGTTGATTTTGACAACAGTTACCTAACAGGAATAATGAAATCTAGCTATAAATTTTGGCAAGAACACATTTTCACTAAATTGTTTGAAAAATTCTCGAGTATTATATATTGCATTTTTCGATCACTGAGAATAAACTGGCACTTTTCAAAATTTTATTATATTTTATTGTTTTTATTGACACTCATTCTTAGTTATCTACCTAATCAACTTGGCTTGCAGATTAACTAATCCAGCTATAATAATAACAATATCGTCAAATTTATCAAATAAAGTTGATGGCAATTCAGCATGTAGAGCACACATTTTATACTCTCTGAATCTCCTAATGAAACGTTCAACATGGATCCTGACGCTAGCAATTTCTTTCGCTAAAATCGAGTCTTCTTTAGATAACGGTTCATCATTAGATACCAGTGCTGCAAAATCTCGACAATACACAGTGATATTGACACTTCTATTTTGGTCACTCATTTGAACTAACAGTCACAGTCAAGGCAAACCATGTCAATTGTCAATGACAATGCTGTCAGTGACGAACATGTGTAGATTTTTATATTAACTAAATTTGTAACGAAATTAAATAATTTGAGCGACACAATTACATGGATCCGTTAATGTAAACAAGCGTCTACGTCCTGAACTACTTGGATAACAATAATGTGACACAGAATGTACGAAATTACACTTTTTGTTACCAGGTGAATCTTTGTCATTGACGAAACAATGAATGAGATTTTGACGAAGGTTTTTTTGAGGATCAAGTCTGTCAGTGACTATGTGACGAACAATTTTGTCAATATCGCGTGAAAGTCTCTCAATGACAATGACAAATCTCAGCACTGTTAGATACACTAGGTGGCCTAATAAGTACTCCTCCAACACTGGCTATGTCAGTTGCCACGTTTTTGAAACCACGATCAGCTAACACTCCTGCACCTGGGTGTATCATATCTAAATAACCAGACCGTCGATCGATTTTTTGGTCACTTGCACGACCAGGAAATGCTTTGGAAATAAATGTGACGAAGCCACAAGAAGTGCAGGATATTAAATACTTCAATGTATTGCACGATTTGTACTGCAAGTATGTGATTGACTGGAAAACGGGGCTAGATGGTTTCATTATTTGTATCTCAAAACAGTCAATGATGCTTTGAATAGAAGAGTATTTGTGAAGAAACGAAATTGGCAAAACTTTTTAAAATTATCGTTGTCCTCAAGTGGTGACCAAAATTGTGAGAAAGTAGTTTTTTCAATTAAATATCATTAAATGAAACCAAACTATGGAAAATCAGCCACATCAACGACTTAACTATTGACAATAATGACAAACAATATTTTCACTTGCAAAAGGCCACAACCCATGGCCGTAATGTCGAGCAGATTACATCGCAGTCGTTGCAGTTTTTTAAGACTGAGAAAGCCGTTAATCAATGAAAATTTTTAGGTTTTGTACAATGATCGGAACATTCCGGAACAAAACTCCGGGAATGTTTGATAAGCTTCTAGATAAATCTGAAAAAACACCCAGAGAAAGACGAACGAAGCTCTCCTGGATGAAGACACGAATTGATAAACTTATGGCGAAAATTGAAATAAACTATCGAAAAAAAAATCGGATGTCACATCTAAACGAAGCCAGAAAAGTTTCGGAAACCGGAAGTAGCCATTTCCAGGGAAAGCCAGAAGAAGCTCGGAAAAACCTTCCAATAGAAGTCGAACAAAAAAACCTTTGGCTTATGGTCAAACTTCCAGAGAAAGACGAATTAATTTCTGGGAGAATCAATTGAACTTCCTGGAGAAGACGAAAGAAACTTCCTGTAGACGCTGGCAGAAACTTCCTAAGGTAGATCGGAAGAAACATCTGAAGAAAGTCGGAAGCCAGAGCGCTCACGGAACAGTCGAAAGAAACAAGGACATAATTCCGGAAGAAAGAGATTCCTGGGGATGTTCTAATGATCCAGAAAGTTTTCCTAATATTCATAAAACATCCCTGAAGACTTCACAATTTCCCTCAAGTTTTTGGAATAGTCCTGAATAATCCTCAGGAATATTCCATAATTCTTCGAAATTCCTTAAAAGTTCTCGGCCAGGAGTTCTCTGGCCATCCTCGAAGTGCTCGGAACTTTCTCTAATCATCTTTGAAGGTCTCTGGACTTTCTTGAAGATTATGAAAACTCTTAAGTGCTCTCACAATTTTCTTAAATTTATTTTAACATCAGCATTGAAGTTCTCTGACCTTCCCGATTTTCTTAGTTTTCAAAAGGCATTAAAACGCATAGAACTACCCATAGTTTGTTCTCACAATGTTATAATGTTCATGTAACTATCCTTACGTTTCCTAAATTTGCATGAGCCCCTCAGGACATTGCTGAAGTTTTCAGAAATTTCCTGAGTTTATCGGAACTCCTTTAGAATTTCAGCAAGTTCATTGAAATTAATTGATCTGTCCTAATGTTCTCTGAGCTTCACTAATATTTCTGAAAACCATTAAATTCCCTTGAAGTTCTTTGGACTTGTGAAGTTTCCAAAATATTTATGATGTTTCCTTAAGTTCACTGGAGTTCACTGGACTTTTCTGAAATTCCCAGGTTATCGAATTTTAACAGAAGTTAATGAAACTGTGTTTAATTTATCGAAACTCACACAAAATTCTGGACTTTTCTGAAGTTGCAAAACTTCCTAAATGTGCCTGCAGCTAATGTGGATTCGTAATAAAAATCTGATAGCATCCTTGAAGTTCCGGGAAAGTTGAAAAAACTGGCGGGAGAAGGTGAAAGAATCATTCGAGCGAAGGCTGAAGAAGCTTGCAAGGTAAGGTGGAAGAAAATTGCAGGGAAAGTTGGATGAAACTTCAGGAAATTTATAAATGAATAAAAACTTCCGGAAGTTAAATAATTTTTTAAAAATATTTAAGCCATCGACTATTTCTCGATTTATGGATATCCAAAAACGGTGAGGAAATGCAAACATTAGTCGAAAGCGTATCAAACATTAGGCATCTTTAGAGATGATTGAATAGAATTTTGAAGGCTAAAAATATATGAGGTATTCAAAAAGATACAAGACTCACAAAAAATTTCTCCGAATTCGAGCGTGGGCAGGAATTAATAATTTTGATTATTAAAAAAAACGGTATAAATCGGTATAAAATCTTAAATCGGGATTCTGAGGAACCTTATCTGTATATCGGTATCTTGTTTGGAAATCGGTATAAATACCGATAAAGCGGTATATCTGGCAACGCTGCCTCGAAGTCTTGTGACGTTTGGGGATAGTAGTTTTTTTTATCAGGGTGGCCTTATACATACTATGGTTTTTCAATATAGGGTTGACTTCTCCATTCTCAAAATTTTGTAATACAAAAAAATATAATTTTACGTGACTATGAATCAATTAAAAAAAAAACTTTGCTATGTATTCCAGAGCCAAATCTCATCGATTGATGTCAAAAACGAGATAGGGTATTAGGACCCTATTGTTGGCTTATGTATCTAATATTGGCCCCATCGCAAAAAATCTGCTATTTATCAATTTTATCTAGATGAACGCGTTATTGGGACGTTACTAGTGGATATTTTTGGTTGCTATTGAAAATTTAGTCGATCGCTGAATATATGTATGGGCCCAAATTAGGGACACTTAAGTCGAACATTACCTGCATTTCCCGTATTTGAAGAGTTTTTGTTACTTTCTCTATTTGTTTTCTGTTTTGTATATTTACTTTTTTGCCATCGAGTTCAGATCTGTTTTCAGTCTGACAAGTCTCCAGAATGCATATAAAACTTTAAGCTGGGCTTAGACCAGGCAAGGAATTCAATTGGCTTGAAAAGTTGAGCCTGGTTCAACTTTTTTCAATTCAAGTGAGTTGATCAAGTCAGTTGCATGGCATGGTTTACACGTTCAATTTGCGTTCAAGTCAGTTGAATTCAACTGACTTGATCAATTGACTTGCCTAGTCTAAACCCAGCTTTATGCAGAGCTGGAAAGCACCTCAGATCGTTGGCAAACCAACTTTTTGCATGCATCTCACAACACTCGACAAAGAGTGTGTGGTTCTCCGTTTGCTTCGTATATATTAGAATATTTGCTGTATATAGTCCACGTGCTGGTAACACAATATGGACACAAGTGCGTGATTTATTTTGATGGTCATTTGGAGGCCATAATTGAGCTATATTTCTGGACGTGATGAACAGTCAAAACACAGGAATACAAATATTAATACTTCCGTCGTCGTCACAGTCAGTGATGGAAAAGTTCGCGAAAACTCACTATGACTCGCGAACTTTTCCCTTGGTGAACTTCGTGAAATATCGCGAACTTTTCCAACACTGGTCACAGTCCACTTCCACCTGGAGCCATTTCCAAAAAAAAATTCTGCCTTGGCTTGAGATTAGTAGGGTAGAATTTAGAAGAACTAAAATGCCGGGAATGCAACGAGTGACGAAATTTTACAAATTTTGCAATAGATTACTAATCTTATACAGCCATTCCATAGCAAAACGATATAGTGGTTCTCAGAATTTCATAACAATTGGTAGTTTTGTTCCTTATGGAAAAATATTAGACCCGTAAAAATCGTAACTCGAAAACGAAGAAAAATACATAGCTGGGTTTTTTATATGTTGTGTAGAAAAGCCTACATTTTCAAAGAAAAATATAAATACGTGTTACGCCCATTGCCTACAAACTATGAAAACCATATAAAAAAAACAAATTCAATCAAAGTTCTTCTAATTTTTGAATTTTGTTATATTTTTTCTGAAAAGTATTTTAAATAACCTTCCATTTGATTTTTTGATCATTCAAATTAGCTTAGTGGTTCAAAAGTTATGATTTAAAAAAAAATGTAATTTTTGGACAAAAAAAATAGAAAAGATACTCGATTTTTTGGACCACTCTCAAATGGAAATGGTCATCCTAATGAAAAAAAATTTTTTTTTTTTTTTTTTTCCTTTGGTTTGTTTTTTCCGTCGATCTTGTTTTCCGTGCTGAGCACCAATGCTACCGACGTGCCAGGAAGGCAGCTCCCACACCTGGACCCTACCTATCGACCCATCAACTCATGAACCGGGGACCAACGGCTTTACTTCCCATCCGAAGGAAGGCGTGATCAGAGATGTTATGCCTCAGAACATCCCGGCGGCGCCGACTGGGATTGAACCCAGGCCCGCTGGGGTGAGAGGTAATCACGCTTACCACTACACCACCGGCGCCGTTGATGAAAAAAAAATACGGGTCTAATATTTTTCGATAAGGAACAAAAATACCAATTGTTATGAAATTCTGAGAACCACTATATCGTTTTGCTATGGAATGGCTGTATATCAGGTTATCAAAATATTTGTAGCGCATTGCTGATTTGTGGCTTAGTGTTAAGCTTGAATAAGTCTTGTTTAACCTGTAGATCAGCTAACATAATGAGGTTGAATTATGGGGATACAATTCGCTTTATGCACTACTAATGAACTATATATTCAGCGTGCTGTTGATCAGCTTTGTACATCATAAATCAACCAAAAATCAGCTTCTGTTCTTACAGTTCAGCTTGAATTGTTACTTGGTAAGCGCTCACGAATCGTAAAATCGCTGATGGTGACGTATTTAAAGTGAAAAGGTATAGATTTTATGAGTCGAACACATACTTTACAACCTATTCTTCAAACTTACAAGAACAAATTATTATGATAACTTCTAATGATTTCATAATTCTAAAAAACAGTTTTGTATAGCAATTGAGTGGAAGCAATCCTGGTCGCGACCCGTAGTTTAAAAAAGGCTGGCCTAGTCCGTAAATTCGCGACAGCAGAGACGGTACCAATTCCCGGTCCAGTCACAGAATTAGTCGGGTTACAACATTTCTCGACTTCCCTGGGCTTAGAATATCTTCATGCTTGTCAAACAGTACAATAATTTAATAAATCAAAGATCCTAAAAAGCACTCAATCATCAATTTTTCAGTACACAAAACACAGAGTTGAGGGAAGGGCTTTTTCAAAACTCTGTAATACAATGCATTGCATTTAAGCAGTTCCATGCCAAATGAGAAGTCGATCTGACGCAACGTTCTCTGATTTGCATTAAATTTTGCACAATTGTTTGTTATGGTCAATCATTCACATTGAGCATGAGCATGAGCATGATCATGATTGACCGCCCACGGTTTTAACTATGTTATTGCCAGACCAGCT